CAAATAAGCAAAATGCAATTGGGTTTGAAAGTCAACGTGCTGTATCTTTTATGACAGGAAAGGCAAATAGGTTTAAATTTCCTGTGCTCTGATGAACCAGGAGCAACTGCCTGGAGCTTTGTGTTGATGTGAACTTAGGCTTGGTGGGAGCACAGGGAGTAGGGCTGTGACTGCTGGGGGGGCCTGGTTAACTCTGCCCCATGCAATGTGACCCAGCCTGTTGCTTCCCAAGGCCAAAATGTTCTTTTTGGTTCATGTAACTCCTCTTAGCCAAAGGCAGATTTAGTTTATAAGCCTCAAAGAGGAAAAGTGGGAGACTATTTCCCAAAATAAGAGCCAATTTATAGGGCCGGGCGTGGTGGCTCACGCCTGTAATCCCAGCACTTTGGGAGGCCGAGGTGGGTGGATCACGAGGTCAAGAGATCGAGACCATCCTGGTCAATGTGGTGAAACCCCGTCTCTACTAAAAATACAAAAAATTAGCTGGGCATGGTGGCACATGCCTATAATCTCAGCCACTCAGGAGGCTGAGGCAGGAGAATTGCCTGAACCCAGGAGGTGGAGGTTGCAGTGAGCCGAGATCGCGCCATTGCACTCCAGCCTGGGTAACAAGAGCGAAACTGTCTGAAAAAAAAATAACCAATTTATGGGCTTTTCAAGACATCAAAGCAAGCGGACACAGATAATGCAGATAATACTGGAAGGAAAGGCACTGAAGACTAAGTTATCTGCCTCTTTGCAGATTCAGTTGTGTTCTCAGGCCATTTGGATTGGTCCATAGAGATACAGAAGTTATAGTGCAGTTTATTAGCTAGAAATGAATTTTAACAGCCCCATCTGGGTCTGAATGGGGCAAATTTAGGCGCATGTCATTAGGTATCTCACAAGTTAGCACCCAAAATTTAACATAAATTGACAAAAATAAGGCTTAAGTCATCTGGAGAAACTGTTTACAGATATCTTAACTTTATTTAGCTCTCTCTAGAATTAACATCTTTGCAAATATATTATTCAACCAAGCATTTGCCATAAAGATAAGCATCAACTTTCCCATTGGACAAGTGATAGTGTTCAAGCTACTTGAATTGTGAAAAACAAAAAACTCCCAGGACTTCTCAACAAATAAATTTTAAAATGAAATGTACTCAGATGGATAAACAAGATATTAAAATGGAGATTGACACTGAACTACATATTGAACCTGAAACACACATTCAAACAATTCTTCTGTAAAATGATATATTATTGGCTTTACAAAGATGTACTGGTTTATGTTTACAATTATGTTTTATTTTCAAATGATAAAGGAAAGGTTTCATGTTGCTATTTGAAAGTACTTCTCAACTAGCCAGGCAGGGTGGTGTGTGCCTGTGTTTCCTGAAGTAGGAGGATCATCCCCTTGAGGTTCCAGGCTGCAGTGAGCCATGATTGTGCCACTGCACTATAGCCTGGGTGACAGAGCAAAACCCTGTCTTTAAAACAAAATGAAAGTACTTCTCTGCAAGTGAAATTTATGAATATAATCTTTATTCCTATTAAATGATGGCCCTAATCAGCTACTACTTATTATTTTCTATTTAACATTCATTTTTGAAGAGCCAGAGACCTGCCTATGTGGCATAAAGTTTGGATGGATATATGTGAATGCTGTGCTGGTGAAGGTCATCTGATTCTTATTACAACTTTCACATGCCCTATTTGTTATATTTTAACATCACTGCTCATTGTGCTTCCTGTCTTTAATAGTTAAAAGTATAAGTGGACCAGTTAAAAGTTGTTTAGGCTGGACACGGTGGCTCATGCCTAGAATCCCAACACTTTGGGAGTCTGAGCAGGGGTTGGATCACTTGAGGTCAGGAGTTCGAGACCAGCCTGGTCAACATGGGGAAACCCTGTCTCTGCCAAAAATACAAAAATTAGCTGGGCATGGTGGCGGGCGCCTGTAATCCAGCTACTTGGGAAGCTGAGGCAGGAGAACTGCTTGAACCCAAGGTGGAAGTTGCAGGAATGAGCCCACATCACACCACTGCACTCCAGCCTGGGTGACAAGAGCAAAACTCCATCTCAAAAAAAAAAAAAAAAAAACTGTTTAAAAACTATCTCAGCAGCTAGCACTATTTAGTCAAGTCAGTAGCTGAGAGAATGGTGGGTCACTAACCACCAGAAACTTGGAGGTTTCCAAATGAAATGTACTGAAATTGCTTTATTGATTGCTTTTAAAAATAGAAATATTTAAAATAGAAATATGAAACAAATTAGCATTACTATTTTAGTGATTAGAACCCCCTGGAACTTTTCGGCCAAACCCTGGAAACTAACCAAAAAACCGAAAATTTACCCTAAGGGAAGAAAAACCTCAAGTCCAAAGACAGTTTCTGATTCCACCATTTGGTTTTACAATTCTGGGATTACTCAAGAAGTAATTTATATTAATATACAGTGTAATGAAAGTTATTCTGGAACAGTAATTAAATGGCAACGTTTAGGTATCATGTACGATATTGTATGCCCACAAATCATTTTTCTTAGTCAAATAAGCAAATTATGACAATAATAAAAGATGAATTACTAGACACAAATGAAAATCTGAAACCTTAAAAAAAGTAAAAAAATAGAAACAAATAGAAATTAACCTGAGAACACATTAGAGAATAAATTTGAATTATCTGTCCATTTATAAAATATAGTATGCTTTAAAAATAGTCATTTTAGTCATGAGAAGACCCAGCGCTAATATACTGCTTCTTTTAAAAATGATTTTTGAGGCTGGACGCAGTGGCTCATGCCTATAATCCCAGCACTTTGGGAGACCGAGGTGGGTGGATCAGTTGGGGCCAGAAGTTTGAGACAAGACTGGACAACATAGCGAAACCTCATCTCTACTAAAAATACAAATATTAGCTACGCATGGTGATGCGTGCCTGTAATCTCAGCTACTCAGGAGGCTGAGGCACAAGAATCACTTGAACCCAGTAGGTATGGGCTGCAGTGAGCTGAGATTGCGCCACTGCATTCCAGCCTGGGTGACGGAACAAGACCTTCTCTCACCAAAAAAAAAAATGGTTTGAGGTTGGGTGCTTTGAGCCACATCTACAATCCAAGCACTTTGGGAGGCCGAGGTAGGAGGATCACTTGAGGCCAGGAGTTCAAGATCAGTCTGGGCAACACAGTGAGACCCTGTCTCTATACAAAATAGAGTGGTGTGGTAGTGTGCACTTGTAGTTCCAGCTACTCAGGAGGCTAAGGTGGAGGACTGCTTGAGCCCAGGAGTTTAAAGCTACAATGAGCTATGAACTGTTCTGCCCCTGCACCCCAGCCTGGGAGTCAGAAATAGTGGACAGAAAACTGACAACACTCTCAATTGGCTGCACTATACATGGAAGGAAAGTGTTTCTAAAAAGGCTAAATAAGTAAAA